CCCTGACATTATCATTTTTTTAATATATCATCTGCACATAAACAACAGCATAAGCTGTTTATAGACATAAAGACCTGATCCTAAAGTTTAAATTGCGGCACCATTAGAAATTCACGAGGGGGGCGCTTATTTTAAATTTTGGCCAATAGGAGGGACGCTTTTTCGAAGGGGGCAATTATTCGAGGGGGGGCGTTAATTCGAAGATTTATGGTTCTTGTAAGCAGCCACTAGAGTTGTAAGGTAAAGATGGCTGCCTACGGGAACTTGCCCAGCTTACAATGAACACTGGGAATGCAAAAATACCACCAAATTATTTATTATTTTTTTGGTTTATTGCCTTATGCAAGGCCGTGATAATGGAAATAACTGCATGTACACAGTACTGTATACTGCAGTACTAGGATATCTATTAGTTATTAAAGAACAAATCATAATTACAGTCAGCAGTAATATTAGTACCGAAACAAAAAGCAGTGATACAGTTAAATGCTTGTAAATGTTTCAAAGTATTTCTCCTAAGTGTCTGTTTACAGGGGCTTAAAAACAAAGGGACAGTCTAGATTGTAAGTCCTCCAAGTGTCCACGGCCGCTTATGAGAATGTCCCTTTACTGGAATGAGTACATGTAACAGAGTTTGTAGGGGAGTTCAAACAGAGTTTTTTGAACGTGGTCATTAGTATAGCTGTCCACCGCAGTTCCAGAAATAGTCCATACCCTCCCCATGGAAGGGATTTTTCTAAGACCCACCACTGGAAATTTCAATCAAGCTTCATGCATTTCTTACGGATTCCCTCCCCCCCTCCCCCCCACCCACCCTCCAGGTTGTTCAAATCCCTTCTGTGGAGGAGTATGGATATTTGCTGGAACTGCCCAGTTCGGGCTATTACCCTTGACACCCTTTTTTTCTGTTTCCTTCTTCCTTTTCCAGTGGTGACTTGTCGGCCTTTGACGTCATTGGCAGCAAAGTGTGCGAAATTTAAGGTCACACAACAAGTGACACACAACTGTTGATATTGCTACCAATGGAAACGAGGTAAGTTGCTCGTGACAACATCATAATTTAAGACCAAAACTTCTTCGCCAAACTTCCATCATGCCTTACTCGACTGATAATCGTAGTTTTTCATTCTTATTTCATTTTTCTTGCATTTTATGTATTTAATCTTTGTGTCATGATCAATAAAATTAGTCACACTTGCAATAATAATTAACTAAAGGTGATCTGAAGCTCCATGGCAACTGAGCCAAGCGAGGGGAATTTGGCTCATATGATAATCACAAGACCGTTCGATGCAATTATAATTTCTCGGCTTTTATCTCCAAACTTTAATCAATTATTAGAGCGGTTGACATGTCATAATTGGTTGAGAATAAAAGTAGTCATGGACTTATAAAACTCACCCTCTGTGGTGGGTTTTCCCATCAATTTGAACAATCATCACTCGCCCATGTTTATCGTGTCCTAATGCGGTTCTCGCGGACACAACATCTGCAAACAAGTCCATCGAGCCTGTTTCCTCCACGTCACGACATTCTGCTTTCTTGCTTTCGTCCACATAACTCGAGCCATTCCGTAATAACCAAATCACTCCCGAGACGAGCTGAGTGAATGGATTCTCTTTCTGGTCGACCATTTCCTTGGACAAATATCCCACAACAAGTGTACCATCCTGTCGAATACCGAAATTTGCATTTTGGACACCGCCTGAATCCATAACCTTTCGTCCATCGCTGAAGACATTTCCATAACACTTACCGTCTCGAGTTCTAAAATACCCTGCATTTGTAGATACCCAGCATTTCCGCTGTCTAGCAGATTCTGAGACTGTTGATCTTGTTGATGTATTGCAACCCCCAATTAGCTTCGGTTCTAGAACCGAAAACGTTCGGAAAGGGTCCTCTATTGTTACAACGTGTCCAACAACGTTCAAAGTCTGGAAATTTTTCGTAAATTCATGATATAAATTATGCACCTGTACAAAAGGTTGTCCCGATGTTAGACGGGTGGATACCTTGAAAGTTTCATGAGTAGTATTTCCAAATTCCACTGGCTGGCAGTCTCGAACATATCTGTGATTGCGTTTGGTTCTGAGGTGATCTCCATATGGGGTAAGGATATCGTCCGGGAAGTAGTCGTCTCTTTCTTCACGTGATGTATATGTCAAAGCTAGAATTGGGAGAAAAGTAATAGAAAAATAAATTAGCACCTTCATTTCTTAGTGCACTAGTTTGTTCAAGTTTCGAAGTTTGCACAATATCTTCTGCGCCTACAGTTGTCTACTTGCAGTCAGCGTTGTAACACAGTAATAAATACATAGTCATGTCCATTATCATGAGATTTGTGCGATAAGTCAAAGTTGTACTGGCGTTCCGATATCGTATCCGAACATGTTGCCTACAAAGTTTGTTGTTCAGCCCTCCGAATCACTTAAATGTCCTATTTGCAGGGAACTTTTCAAAGATCCGGTTATTTCAACTCAATGTGGACATACATTTTGCAGAACCTGCATTCGAAATGGCGTTTCAATCACCGGAAATGCTGCGACGAAATGTCCCCAGGACGGAACTATCTTACAACGACTGCATTTAGTGTCGAATTTAGCTGTGAGAGGACAGGTAGAGGATTTGCTGATCCACTGTAGGCATGGACTAACGAGATCGGATTCCGAGGAAGACTTTGAAATAGACACTACGGGTTGCCAAGAAAAAATCTCATTCGGTCGACGAAGCGAGCATGAAGAGGTCTGCGGCTTTGCGTTAGTGCCCTGTCCAAACAGCTCAAATCAATGTGGAAAATTTCGTCGACAGTGTCTGCAAGATCATCTTACGGTTTGTGCCCAGTACCGTTGTCACTACAGCGTTAAGGGTATGTTACTTTGTTTCGGCTTTTTAATATTATGCTCTGATGTTTAATACAAACTGGATTAAAATTTTATAATGGAGTTCTTTGGTTCTGGTCTGTTTATTATAAGTTAATTGAAGGGATATTAAATATTCATGACAAAAGGCTTCTTTTTTCTTTTATCACGTACCCAGAGATTTTGAATAAAAAACATATTTGCTCTCTGGATATGGTTTATTTGTTTTGTAAAATCAAAACAGAATCTGAAACTTTTCCACCTGCTTAGACTGCTTAGTAACCATCCCCACGGGAATTTCTCTGGATTTGTCAAAGGTGAAAACGGCGGGGAATTAGAATACCCTAAATGCCTACCGACCTGAATACCTTAAAAAATGATAAATGTTAAAAACTTATAATATTATGATAGCATTTTCTTAGTGGGAACACTGAAATGAAATCTTTAGCTTCTTGGTAGGTATATGGCAAACAATTTGATGTCAGTTTTTCATGCATCAATCCTGTTATTGATCATGAATCTTTGTCATAATGTTGTCAAAGTAGCTGTGAATCCTCGAGGCGATTTAGCTGAGTGGAGTTGCAGACTACTTTGACAATGTTATGACGAAATTCATTGTCCAAATAAGAGGACAGATGCTTGAAAAACACCAATTTATTGGTAATGAAAATTACCCAATGAGTGTGCAAGAATTACTGCAGTTATTGTAACATTTATTAGTTAGTGGAGATGCTATATGAACTTTGAATAAGTTACATGTTAAAGTCCAATGTATAATGAAGAGCTGTTGAAGACAGCCAGCCAAGTATATCCTCCTTCGTAGATGTTCTTTTAAATACATCTTGTGACTGGGTGATGTGCCTAAAGGACATCTGTCAAAAGGACTAGCCAGCTAATCTTTGATGTAAATTAATGGCTATTTTTGTAATCAAAGGCATCTTTTCTGAGGTAATACTATTAATAGAGGAACTTTTTCTTCCTGAAGTTTTGTTGTCAGGTAATGTCAAACTTATTAATAGATATTATTTTCTACATGTGGTTTTGTAGCCTTTGAACATGGCCACCTCTCATTGGTCCTAAGTGAAGGGTTTGACTGCCATTGATGCTTTTAAAGTACTGCTGTACATGAATTATCAGCATCATGTTTTCTTTTAGGTTGTGAATTTGTTGGTACAAAGCTTAATGTAGAAGACCATGATGACACATGCAAGTACAAAAACAGTGTTGAGTGTCCAAAGTGTCAAGCTCTCCATTCTGGGGTATAAAAATGTTTAGGTTATTAGTATCACTTTGTAGTCCTAATTGGAGAGCTTAAACTCCAGGAGGGGGGAATCCCATAGAAAAATGACAGGAGTGCTCAATGAAAATTTTGAAAATAATTCCTAAGAGGTACCAAGGTCCTGTTTTGTGACACCTGTGGCTGGAAATTTTCTTCACCCCTAAGAGGTACCAAGGTCCTGTTTTGTGACACCTGTGGCTAGAAATTTTCTTCACCCCTAAGAGGTACCAATTCTAAAACAAAACATTATCTCCCTGGTCATATTTTCTTGGGCTAAATACCCTAAAAGGTACTGCAAAATCTCCCGCTGTGGACCCTCAAAGGATGAATACCCTAAAAGGCACCAAAACCACTTTTTTAACTCCTAACAGGTATAATGAGCACCCCTCTCTTTTTCATGTGGGAGTCGCACCCTTCACGGGGCTTAAAACATTTGCCAGATAGTAAATATTACACGTTATTGGCAGACAGTCGGGGACTGACTATGGACAAGTTAATAATGGGTGATTCCAGAAAATATCCATACCCCACCACTGGCAGTATCTTTGTCTAAACCCCCCTTGCCTTGAGAAATTCCAAAATGTTCAACTTCCCCCTGCACTTTTAACTCCAAACTGTTCTATCCTCCATACCTTCAGAATTCTGTAATCATTCAAACCCCTTCAGGAATTTCTGCTTTTTGTTTCCAACTGATTTGAAAAACCTTCTCTAACTTCCAAACACCTTTATAAATTAAAAAATTAATCCTTACTCCCTCCAAAAGACATATGTTGATTTTCAAAGAGGAAAAAATCCAGAAAACTCTAAAAACAAGCTCTGACAGTGAGAGATTGGGCTGAGTCTCTACTCCCACTTTTAAAACATTTTCTTAGCCTGGTGAGACTACAAAGTCAGAAAAATGTGGCTTATTCTCTGGAAACAGAAGTTTTCTTCAGTGGGTTTATAAGGTCAAACCTGTGCATTGTGATTGGTAGATTTTCATCCACTGTGTTCATTTCTTTATTTCAAGGTTTGCGGTTGTCTTCAATGATTATTATTATCAATGATTAACAGCAGCCAAAAGTACAATCATTTGTTAGGTTTTGAACTTTAGAGTTCTTGTGTCATTGAGAGCCACTGCAAATCTCACTGTAATATATATGTATAAAAATCCCACAATTTTTTGGATGCTTATTTTCAGCGTCATTCCCAGGGTCTTTGTTCTTTCTCGGGGTAGAAGAAGTGAATGCTGGGGATGAGGTTGGCTTGTCTACACTTTGGAAGGCCAAATGTCTTCATTCTTCAATATGTAGACACACCAAAATAGCAGAGATTTTGCAAATGTCAGAATAATATGCTAAAACTCTCTTTATCTTTGTTGTCCCAGTCTTCTGAAGAGCTAAGATCTTCCGTGAAGGTTCTTTCAGAGAGGGTTTCATGGCTAGAAAACAACCAAGATGCTTTGGTGACACAAGTTGAGCAATGCAACAGGTAACGTGCTGAAAACATATGTTTATGCCTTCAGTTATTTTCCTGGGATATTAGTAACTGTTAACTGGGAGAAATAAAGGTGTGTGGCACTGGATTTACTGGTATTGTTGAACCATCTGGCTTAATTTGGATCTGTAGAGCTGAACGGACATTGACACATTTATCCTGTCACTACTTAAAACTAGTAAATAATAAAATGAAGATGTTTGTACATGTATAACTGATTTAAAATACAGCTTATTATATAGGGTAATATTGTTTTTTTAATTATGTCAGGTGAACCTCTCCCTACAAACACCTCAGTCTATAATTTGGACACCTTTATATTACAAACAGTTCTCTTGGTCCCAGAGAAATATACATGTCAATAATACAGACACTCACCTCTCACCCCTTTGGTGTCTGTTTGAAGGAGGTTTGACTGTTATTATAAATAAATTTCTATTGACCAATCCAAACATTAATGAACCCCTATTTTCTAACAGTACTATTTCCAGATTGTCTGAGACAGTGGAAGACCTAGTATTCCAGGTGGAACAGCTTACTGTCATACTGAAGCGATCATCGCTGTATCGTGAAATGTCAGTGACGTCCATTCCTGAAACAATTAACAGCTCTCAAAGCACAAGCCCTGATGATACAATGTCTCATTCACATGCACATAAATCACTAGTCAGACTAAAGAATTCCCCTGTGGTGTCATCACAGCAAGATATATGGAGTATACCTTGTGTCTTTAAGTGCATTGGCACCTTGAGGTATAGTACAGTGTTTATTTTATGATTTATGTGAATGGAATCTGATGACAGTGTATAAACTAACAATAGACAGCAGAGTTAATTATTATATCTATTTCATACACAAGTTTGAAAATATATCAAAATAAATTACTGCTTACTGATTCAGGGGTTTCTTTAATTGCCAGTCACTGGGCAAATTGACTGACTGTGTGGAGTCTGTAAATGATTATTTTGCCTGCCTGGTTGGACCATCTAGAGGAAAGTTTTTCTTATAAAGAAGTTCAATTCTAAACAGGTTTTGCCCGTCTGTAAAAACCAGTTAGCCTCCTGGTGAAAATGTTTATGAAACCCCTGACTGATTGCCATTCTTTTTGCTTAAGGACTTGATGATTTAGCCATGATGATTCTTTGTTTATTGGGCAGACCCAGGCATTGCAGATTTTTGCCTCTAATTGTCGTATTCGAAGTGCTTGTGACATATTGGGTGCCATTTACACCAGCACAACTTTTTGGCGGCAATCATCCAGGAAGTTTGTAGCCTTGATTATAATCAAACAATATTTGTGTTGTAGATATGTCACAACCCTATATATCAAAAGGGACAATTGTAAGCACAATTATTCTGTCAAAATCAATCCTCAGATTTGAGACACCTGGATGAGAGAGTCACTGTAAGAATGAAATGTCTTGTCCAACTAAGATTTATTGTAACACAACAATGCATTGGGACTTCAGTCTGATGTCTAATTACTTTCTATCCCTTTAGGACAAGAGACTGATAGTACAATAGAAATTTCGCATGTCAATTCACTATCTTTCAGGGGTCATCGTGGAACCATCTGGTCAATGGTCTCCAAAAGTCATCGGCTTTTCAGTGCAGGAGGAGATAAAGTCATCAAAGTCTGGAACATGGAGAATGTGCGGCTGGCTAGATGCACCGAGGTCCTTGAGGGTCACACTAATGATGTGAGTGTGCAGGGCTAAAGTAATTCATGACAGGCATCATTGATCCTTTTACTTCAAAGAGGGAATTGACAATGAGCGATATTAGTTACTTATTTACTGCATGGGGGTGGGCGAAGCCATTGGAATATCTTAAGTTTGTACTCTGAGTATAATGAAGGGAGTGGAGGTGGGCAAATAAATTTGAATTAATTTGGTACTCAAATGGGTTTCTGTCAAACTTTAGGATGAGAATAGACATTTATTATATAAATAAACCTGGGTTATTGGCCAAGTGTGAAGTCAAGATAACTGGATATAAGCCAAGTCATTTTTTTCATGTTCATCTTACCTGCTCGGGTAGCCGATTGCATTGGAGGATTAGGTTCATCTTGCCCACCCTCAGCGTTAGCCATGAAATAAATGAAACTACAGTCAAATCTGTATTAGGTGGACACCCTCGGGACCCATGCTAGTGTCCGCTTAATACGGGGTGTCTGTTGAAAACAGGCTCTCTCAGAATTCGTCTTAAAAGGGTCATATTGATATTCATCAGTATTAAAAGACTTGAAAGGGTCAAATAGCATTCTCTTGAATGGTCGAGAACTCTGAAATACTGTAACCATAAACAATGACAAGAACTCTGAAATACCGTATTTCCATAAACAATGACAAGTACAGTGTATATGAGGTAAAGCGATTTAAGTATACAGTAACAGTATCTATATTGATCGAATCATGTTAAGGTTTACTAAATCAAGCAAGAACAAATGTTCTGTAAAACCAAAACTGAATCACAAAATATTGCATTTCTGTGACAGCTCAGTTTGTTGGCAAACCGATCTACTAAAACGTGGACAGAAAAATCATGCATTCTTTTTGCAGTGTCCGTTTGATATAGGTTTCTAACAATAGAAATGACCATAAAAGTCAAGTTTAAGGTGTCCGTGTCTGCTTAATAGAGGTGTCCGTTGAATACAGGTATTTTTTACAGTGAATGTGGAAAAGAAAAATGGGACTCACACTGCTCTCCGCTTAACATGGGGTCCACTCAACACACGTTTGACTGTATTGCCTACCCCCATTATGTGCTCTTGGCAATCTCCATCCTGTCATGAAATTTTTAACATATTTGTAAATACGTTTCTATTTTCTTCTTCATTTTCTCAAGATTCACACTATGTGTGTTGGAGGTGGAAAACTATACAGTGCAGGATCAGATCAAGCAATTATCTCTTGGAACTTGGAAAATTTGACCCTGCACAAAAAAATTGAGGTTTGTTGTACCATAATAGCAAGCAGCTTTCTCTGGCAAGTCGAATGCAACTCTTATTTACTTGCCTGAAAAATCTTTCTTGTTTCCTCAGAATGCCCATGACAATATCATATGTGCCATAGTTTACAACGGAAAGTACCTTTTCACCTCGTCTCATTCATGTATTAAGGTGAGACAGTCCACTAAGACTTTGTCATGTCATATCGTCCTGTACTTTGTCTCAGTTAGGAGTTTCAACAAGTCACTAACTAGGTGTAGATCAAGCTTGCATTTATCCCAACGAATTTGTTTTCCAAAACTGAAAAACACATTTTGAGGTGTCTTAAGAAACTGAAGATTTTCTTGTACATTTTTCGGCTATTTTCAAGATGGTTTTTTTCTCACTCTTTAAAAAACGAGAATCACGCATTTCTCAGATGAGAGTGACATCACCCGGGAGGGTGGTAACTTAACGCTAAGGCACATGGTGTAATGTTACATGTATGTACAATATAGACTTGATAATCATCACCCTTAAGTGAAGCGAGAGGTTTATCTTCTAGCGACCTAAACCAACAGGCCAAGGAAATATTATTGGAAAGGACTTTTAAAAGTCTATGCACAATGTTGCACCGTGTGCCTTTACCTTGAACGGTGGCATGTGATTTCTTTCGTTCACCTGGATCAAGTTGGATATCAAGTCCCATTTGGATTCCACCCCCCTCTACTTATTCCCATTCAAGATCTTCCGAGTACATTCCCATTTTGCACCCCTCTCCAGTACTCTGCCATTCTTAGGTGATGGTTTTGGTCACATGATTGAACTGTTATCAGAAATGACGTTTTTCTCATAACTGGATTTTCAACTGACTCTAACGAAGGTATGGGATGCTTCTACTCTTCAAGAGGTACATGAGATGCAGGATCTTCATCACTGGGTCAGAGCACTGGCTTTAGACACAAAAAGAGTGAGTGTTCTCTCTTAACAGAGGTCCTCAATGCATTATATACATAATACGTACGTTCCATGTACGTAGAGTGAGTCACATTATTATATCTTTTACAAAGTCGTTGGACTCCTTAATTAACGTACTGGCAAGTCGGAAAGTCACTGTCCTTTATCTGCAGAGAGCAAATTTGCGACAGATTTCGTACTTTCGTTCTGTTATTTCGTTCTATCTCTTATTATAGATGCACGAGCAAAAAGTCAGACAAAACCTTTTTGCCGTGCATATTTGACTATGGTAACAAGGAATATAGGCCCTTCGGGCCTTGGCATCCCCCGTAAACAACAAAACCTTTTCTTCACGTGTTCATTTGTTGCACACTAGCAACATTTGTTAGGAAGCAAAATTTGTTTCAAGAGAAAAAGAGTGAGTGACGTTTGTTCTTCTGTAGCGTATGTCTCGAGTAGACTTATGTTACACATCAAGGATTAAATAATTTTGGGAAACGATGTATGCACAACAACGTCAGTGTTGTCGTGGGTTGGACCGTTACGTGTTTTCCAGCTGTTTTCAATTCTATTGTGAATTGTTTTAGAGGGAAAAAGAAAACAAACGCTTGTATCAAAGTTCAGCTTCACTGGTTTGGTCTGTCATTCCTACATCATTGCAATGCTTGTCTTGTCTTATCTTGTAGGAAAAGCTTTTTAGTGGCTCACACAATGTGGTTCACATCTGGGATGCTACAGGCTCGTTTGGCCTCCGAGGAACAATCGATCACTCGCTTGGATCTGTGTACTCTTTAGCTGTCACTAGGCATTTTATTATTGTGGGTAGGTTTTTTCACTTTACCTACAGTTACAGTGTAAATACGCCACACCTTTGATAAAAGGTAAATTTAAGTTTGTGTACGAGCCGAGTGGCCCATGAAGCTTATCTCCGGTTTTTTTTGTAGCATGAAGCGACTAGGAGTATTTCTACTCCCCCTGGATGGGATGCTAGTCCGCTGGGGGGTTACCCCCTGTAGGAGGTGCGGTGGCCTCATGGTTTCTGCTCTCGACTCCGGATCGAGTTGGCCAGGTTCGAGCCCTGGTCGGGGACATTGTGCTGTGTTCTTGGGCAAGACACCCTATTCTCGCGGTGCAACACACCTTTGATGCCCAAGAACTAAAACAGCTGCCATGTCGACCTGACGCCTCTAGAGGGGATATCTCATGTTGCTTAAAAATTTCTTGCAAATTGCTATTCTTTTTGTCTTTCTTTTTTCTAAAGACGCGATTTTCCTTTCGTCCACACGATAAAAGCTATTCAGTTTTCTGCATCTAAATACTCTACCTCGCCTCCCTCTCACAGGCACGTACAATCAGAACATTCACGTGTATGACGTAAACTCGTACCAGTCCATCAAGGCGCTTGTTGGTCACATTGGTACAGTCACGGCACTTGCCCCTGCAGTGACAGGAAAACTGCTGTTCTCGGCCTCCTACGATACGACTGTGCAGGTACAGTCACGCGTTAATATTTTTATTGTCATAGCAAAATAATTGGATGAGTCCACTGTAGCAGTCGACTGACCAGTCATTTGAATCAAGCGTATTCTTTGATTGTTGAAGTATCCATCCAGAGATAGAGACAACAAGGGCGCTTTTCATTCAACCAAAAACCTATCGAAAGGGAGACAAATGGTACGAAAAATTTCCTTTGAAAGATTTCGCTGGAAAACCCGAAAACTCTTGAATTTCCGAAATGCGATCCATCCAACCGAAAATTCCGGAAATTTGGGGCGGAAAAAAAGATGGCACGAAAATTCCCGGTAAGAAATTTCCGGAAATTTGGGTATACCTCGCGAGGTTGTCCTCCTGTCCGGAAATTCTGCAAAATGCTGTCTTATTCGCCACTGGAAATTTCTGGACATTAAAATCTGAATTTTTGGTCAAATGGAAGGTACTCTAAACGTCGATAGCAATGTTGTGAACACACTGTGCATGCGTCGGGCACGCGCCCAAGTGTGACAAACACGCCCCAATCTTTTTCAAACAACCTGTCGAGCCCGTCAATTGACTTTTTTTTTTAACTCCTCAGATTTGGAATCTGGATACTATGTTACCCATGCAAACGCTTTCAAGACACGAAGGAAGCGTCAACTGTGTGGTTATTCATAAAGATTTACTCTTGTCAGGCTCAGAGGATATGGAGATCAAGGTCGGTTTTATTGCCGTAAAGTTTCAACAAAGAAACGTATTTAGCAGTTTTACGTGACCTACATTAATTACCGCTTTTTAAGTGATGCCTAAAGGTGTAACATTGTTGTTGTTGTTCTTTAGGTCTTCAAATACTTCAAAGCGGAGTAAATTTTCTACACATGTTCATCTCAGATGCAAGATCGCTACAAGTTCGTCTTTGCCCCATCTGGAGTTAATCTCCCCACTACCATTCCGTGCTACAGTCACTTACGTTTTCGTGCAACGAAAGGCACTTGTGCTACGAGCCCGAGTCGAGTTTTCTATGAGTGAATAGTGAACGAGGCGCAGCCAAATTGACTTCATTGCTCATAGGCCCGGTAGTCTAACTGTTGTTGTAGACGCCAAGTAATTACAAAAATAACCGTTTTATACATTTTTTTTAAGTTAAAAATCATGAATAATGGTCGCTTTCAAGAGCAGAGCGCAGTGCGCAGGATTTTACTCAATGAGCGAGTGGACAACATTGAGAGAACCAATCAAATTCACGGAAGATGCTGAGTATCTTCAGAAAATTAAATAGTTACAAAGGAAACGTTCTCTCTTGGTGTGTATTATTTTATTTTATTTTTGTAAATAAATGTGACTCGTGGGAGTCAGTAATGAATGCTTTAATTGTTGAATGTTTCATACTTTTTGATATTTCGAAACTAGTGGGATTACCCTTCGACAAAAAACCCGAAACGTAGATAGCCTGTTAGATCGTTCAGTGAAGCAGTTATATTTTCTGTGGTGATTACAGTCAAACCAAATCAAAACAAATCACTTCGTCCGAAAATAGAGTAGCTTTTAGTTATCGATCGATTTAAACTCGTTGTTGCCTAAAACACGTGACACATACAGAAACGAGATGGCGCTTTTTTCAACCATCAGGAATAACTTGGTACCACGCGTTTTCCCGCGCTTGGTAAGGGTTTTGTTCCGGCTTCTGATTGGTTCATTTCTGCCCTGAGTGACTACCGGTATTTTGGTGTAAAACAAAAATGGAAGTGTAGAAATTGGAGGGAAGAGTTTTAGGGAAAAAAAATATCTCCCTGCTATCATCAGTCAAAGCACGCTGCACGAATTTTTTCATTTCTACAAACAATTACAGAGTCCAAGTTCACCGTTAATCTAGCAAAAACCGAAGGATCTAGCAAAGGATTAAAGTGGATTATATACGGACAAATCGAATTCAGGAACATTTGGAAGTTTTTTATGTGTCGAGACTGGAGAGGTCACTCGATTTGTCGGCTCATTTTAGAGTGGCGTAAGATTTGATCCAGCAGGTAAAGACGAAGTCGGTCGAACAATAAAGACACAATAAGGTAATTAGCTTCTTTTGATTGTGACCTGCTCGACATTAAGAGCTCTTTCTGTCTTACTATTCCAAAAAATGTCTTTGCAAGAGCAGTGTTTAACTGGGTCGTATAGTTTTTCAAATGGTTTAGATGCTTACATTTGCCCAGTAATACAAACAGTAAAGTTTGGTAGGGCGTGGAAAAGTTGTCCTCGGGCTTTGTATAACTCCAAATTTGTACTGTTAGTTAATATTACTCAACAATCCAAGTGGCAGTGTCATTGTTCATTTTCGAATCAGGCGAAGAGAAACAAACGAAACCTGAAACGGTGCTAATTACAACGAGTACGTTATTTTTTGCCATTGTTGACCCAGGCCTTGTTGAATATCGAACAAGTTATTCCTTTTCAACTTACTGGAGCAAAGGCGACATACAGTTGAACCTCGCCGCTTATCCGGCTCGAAATGCCCGCCATTTTCAACCCATGTTATGCCATTTTCTGTCTTTAGCAACGGTTAGCTTGCCAAGCTGACCGAGTTATCTGTCGTGTTTTCCTTAAGAGCTCGTGATAGCGGGGTTTAACTATATTGAGTACTAGAATATATTAGTTATCTCGTTTAAGAACCGCACGTTTACTCGCACTGTGTTAATTAGTTTGAAGTGTCCATCGAGTTGTGGCTGTTCATTCACGGTTCATTGTTTCCTCAAATCCAGCTTCCTTTTACGTGGCACGTAGAATAAAAGGAGTCTAAGTGACTTATTTTCTAAAGTGATCTTTGATTGGCTATGACGAAATTTGCAAAAGATGCTCTGTCAGTGGAATGTTCTGACTGGAAATTTTCAACGAAAATGAGCGTTGTTTCATTCACTCGAAACCAAACTTGATGTGTAAACATTGATCTTGGCAGGCAATAAAACAAAATTAGCGCCCCCTTGAGAGACTGGTCTGCTTAACTCGATTACTCCACTTAATTAAAAGAGTGTTTCGTTTGTATAGCGATTGTCAAGGCAAATACGAGAACCTGATTAATATGCAGGACTTTTTGGATTCATTTTTTACGACCCACTTGGGAATAAACAAATCCAAACATGCTTAAGAGCGACACCCATTGTTGGCCTGGCAACCGGGAGTTTATGAAACGTTACCGAGCCGTAAACGATTTCAGTTTGAATCTGTCAGCCAAAGAGAGTACTCTTTATCTGCAAGAATATTTTAGCGTAGTCATCGATAATAAACTACTATAAAAAATGCGGGAGATCGTACATATGCAAGCTGGTCAATGTGGAAACCAGATTGGCGCCAAAGTAAGTGACGAGTTTTGCCTTTTGAAAGTTTGAAGTTCTTTATTTAATTTCCCAGGTTGTGCAGTTGCTAATAGCATCTGATTCCATCTTAGTTCTGGGAAGTTATCTCCGACGAGCACGGCATTGATCCAACTGGCACATATCACGGAGACTCCGACCTTCAGTTGGAAAGAATAAACGTTTACTACAATGAAGCTACAGGTAGGTCGAGGCCATTTATTAAACAACTGAACCGAGATTTTATTGTTTGATTTGCCCGCCATATCAACGGTAACTGATGCCGGCTTTTTAAAAGTACCTTTTTCTTTTTGCCTTGTGCGTCCACAGGTGGAAAATATGTTCCAAGAGCTGTCCTGGTAGATTTAGAGCCAGGAACGATGGATTCTGTTAGATCAGGCCCGTTTGGTCAAATCTTCAGACCAGATAACTTTGTGTTCGGTAAGTTTTCTCTCTCTTGAAAAAACTGAATTCCAAAACAAGAGCAATTCTTTAGTGTTTGTGTTACATTTCCAAGACTTGCATTTACTGAGAAACCTTAAAACGAGAAAGATACTAGATGGTACGTTGCCTTTTGAAAACAGCACTGAGTTAAATCTCGCTCATATGCAACATGCCTACACATACAGAACTTACTACATATCATACTCAGAAATCAGTTATCTTTTTTTCAGGTCAATCTGGAGCAGGTAATAACTGGGCAAAAGGACATTATACTGAAGGAGCGGAATTAATCGACTCGGTTCTAGATGTTGTTCGAAAAGAAGCAGAAGGTTGCGATTGTGTTCAAGGCTTTCAGCTTACACACTCGTTGGGCGGTGGAACCGGCTCGGGCATGGGAACCCTCCTTATTTCGAAGATCAGAGAAGAATATCCCGACAGAATCATGAACACATTCAGCGTTGTGCCATCACCAAAGGTATCAGACACCGTTGTGGAGCCTTACAACGCTACGCTGTCCGTTCATCAGTTGGTTGAAAACACCGATGAAACGTACTGCATCGACAATGAAGCTCTGTACGATATCTGCTTCAGAACTCTGAAGCTCACCACACCAACTTATGGAGACTTAAACCACCTTGTCTCTGCTACAATGAGCGGTGTAACAACCTGTCTTCGATTCCCCGGCCAGGTAAGACAAAGTACCGATTCAAATCCACTGACTTTTGTAATATAAATGTCAAAACTTCGCGCTCGGAAAAAGTACTTTTAGATCAGGCGTTAGTTGTCAGCTTTTATCAAGAGAGTTGTTTTGTTTTTCGGACAACAAATACTTTACGCTGTTGGCTTAATGAGGCCGCAAATTGAGCGCTAATTTTTTTTACACTTATCATATAATTTTCAGCTTGTTCGAACAAACGTTAGCTATATGTCGCCATGGAAACTGCTTCCAGAAAGACCCGGCAAAAAGTGTGACGTCATGCTTTAAGAAAGTGATTTGAATATCTCGACATCAAAACAAACTTAACTAACCTTAAAGTAAATAAAAAGCTAATCCACGGCTCCATTATGAAATTTTAATGTAAAATGTTTTCGTCTGTATCAGAATTGGTTTGTTAGCACATGAATTGTGAAAACTGATTTTCCTTCTTGATCCCTAAAATCCCCTCCGACAGCGAGTAACAGCTGAACTGACGGATTAAAGGTCAACATTTGAAAAAATTTTCAACCTTATCTTATCTTATATTAACCAATTTGGACAAATGTTCTTGCTTGCAGTTGAACGCTGATCTCAGGAAACTGGCAGTGAACATGGTTCCTTTCCCTCGTCTCCACTTCTTCATGCCTGGCTTTGCTCCACTTACCAGCAGAGGATCCCAGCAGTACCGTGCCCTGACAGTACCAGAACTCACTCAGCAGATGTTTGATGCCAAGAACATGATGGCTGCCTGTGATCCAAGGCATGGACGTTACCTGACAGTGGCAACCATGTTCCGTGGCCGCATGTCCATGAAGGAGGTCGATGAACAGATGCTCAATGTCCAGAACAAGAACAGTTCTTACTTTGTGGAATGGATCCCCAACAATGTCAAGACAGCTGTCTGTGACATCCCTCCTCGTGGTCTGAAGATGTCCTCCACTTTCATTGGCAACAGCACTGCCATCCAGGAACTCTTCAAGCGCATCAGTGAGCAGTTCACTGCTATGTTCAGGCGAAAGGCTTTCTTGCATTGGTACACTGGTGAGGGCATGGATGAGATGGAATTCACTGAGGTAATATCTTTTTCTCGCCGAGCTTAAACACGGATTGTTATTATTTAAATAAAAAACAAATACATAACTTTTTATTAAAGTGTCAAATGTATTTGCACGTTTGTGTTAATTGGGGACACAGTAAATAAATAAACAAATTTTTCAAATAGGACATAATCTATTAAGAATCCCAACTGGTGGGTGCTGACCAGTTAGGTATTTACACAACGCGGTCCAGAAGCTGACTCAGATCCAGATAGCGGTAGAGAGGCGGATTTGGACTAAGGACCTCCAGATTTCAAATCCAGCGCCCTAAAC